CTAAAATTGATTTTACAGTAAATTATCCATCTTTAAGTTGTTTGGCGCTAAACATGCTTAGTCTGTTTTATATGCACCACTAGTTTTCCAGGAACCGAGAAATTTGTGTTCAAACCCTAGCATTTTGTAGTTTTCAAAATTGTTAGAAATAATCAATTTAAAAAAAACATAATTATTAAATAGTTATCAATAGAAAAGAACTTCGCAGACAATTATTTTGTTTGGGAAGATGGGTTATCTACCCATATCATGGCAGACAACCTGGTACCTTTTGCATCGGTCCACATTTTCATAAATTATCTTTGGTTCTATATTCCTTGACTCATTATTTTCGACTTTCATTTTTTTTTTAGATATAACTTTTACGATGACATTAAGTAGATGGTCGGTCTATTAGGTCAAGGCTTAAGAGGAATCACAATGTGTGTATATATATCTTATTCAAATTTGTTGGAATCCCTCTCGGAATGAACAAACGAATACTGGTTAGGTTGACATATTGTTAAAGAACCAATCGGAATATATTCATATTCAATAATCCAAGTTGTACTGACTACTGAGAAATTAGTTTATAATTTTTGTACATTTTTGTTCTATAAACTTTCTCTCGAATCTTGACAACGCGTTTTAGCAATTCTAAAGCATTTTAACATTTTAGCAATTCTAAAACTTAGTTTACTTAAAAGATTTTTTTTGTAGATGTGTGAATGGCTCTCTGTTCTCTGAAACAGGTTTATCTGGATATAACCTTAAACGAATGTTTCAAATGATACCATACATCGAAGAAAGATTCTTAAACCAATATATCCAATGAAATTGTTAGATCCCAAATTTTCGATGAAATATTTATTAGACCATACAACTTTGTGTACCTCGAAATACTTTAGCTTTTTTGCATCTTACTTAATTAATGATCGTAAAGGTGAAGTACATGCGTTCACATGGGAACATGGATGTTTATAACTAATCCACATGATTAATTTCTATTTCTAAACTTTGTAATTTTTCTATCATTTTATATATTTATGGGCATATGCAACAGTATTGAAGTATAAGACCTTGAAAAAATGTGATATACTTTTTATCAGCAAATTGTTATATTTTATCTAACAATTTGCTGCCGTACGTGTATTTCTCCATAGAATTTGGAGTTTGTGAACATTAGACTATCAAGTGATCTACATGTCAAGTAAAAAGATGAATAACACTAGTGAACACTTTACCCCTAGCTACTGCCATACACACTTGAGAAGTTATCATGTGTATTCTTTTTTGTTTTCAAAAAGCTAAACATTCAATTTTAAAAGATTTTCATATTCCATATATACTCTTACTATATATAATTTGCAGGACTAAATTGCGAGCACACACTTAACTTCTCATATGTATTCAGTTCAATAATATAATAGCGTATTTAACATTTTGTGAGTTTCATAATTTGTAAACTATACATAGTAGCGACAGTATATTTTTCAAAAATATTAACTTAAGTTTTTCAAAAATCTTACAATTTAAAGACATCTAAAAATTACCACAAACTTATTGCTTAAAAGGGCTTCTTAAAATAATTAAGTTTGTTAGTTTTTGGTAATTTTAAAAGTTTACGATCATCAAGGTATTTTATAGAAATGATACTTAAGAACGTGTAATTAAAAAATTCCTCTATGATAATTAATTTATATCTGTACTAGGATATATATATACCAGGATTAAATGAAATACAGTTCCTCTAGATTGTTTTGCTCCAAAACTGTGGGCTGATTAAAGTTAATTAGTTTTAAATTATCAATGCGTGATTAGGCCATTGAGACATTATGACTTGGATCTCACGTGGAGTCAAGCTTTTGGTATTGTATTTTGTTTTAATTTTAAAGTTAGGGTATATATCAATCTTCTAAAAAACGTTCTAAGCATTCGTCTAGACGGTGCTAGACCTCTATAAACCGTGAAAATTACCGTTTGTCGTATAAAATATTATAATGGTATTATGATAATAAAGTAATATACATTTTTAATATATAAATCATAATATTCAATATATTTTGCTATAAAATAATGAATAAAAATACAATATAAATTTTATTATTTATAAATTATAGGTTTTTATATATTTGACTATATTCATCTAATATATTATGTATTTTTGTAAAACCCTTAGACTACCTATTAAATCGCCTAGCCTCCGATTAAACGTTTTAGATACTAGGCATTGACACCGTCCGCTTAGCGCTTTCATAAACATTGGTATATATATAACATCGTTATCTTAACTAAAAATAAACTAGTACATAATTCTTTTATGCATGGCCTACTATAAATAAAATCTAGCAATGGATTCCAATAAAAAAGGGAACAATTGCAAAAATATCACTTTTGGTGTATACAATTGCAAAATTGCCACTATGAGCTGTTTATTTGTAAAAATGCCACTAATTATAAATTTTTAGAGCCTAAATCTTAAAATTCTACATCTTAAAAAATGTTTTGACATTTAAAATCTCCTAAACCCTCAAAATTAAACCCTGATACAACATAGTTAATCTAAACATAAATAATATAATGAATAAATAATTTTTAAAAATGACATTTTTACAAAGATTTTGAAAATGTGGCATTTTGAAAAATGACACTTAAAAAGTGACATTCCTCAAAAAAATTTCATGAAAAGGACCCTTAGCGAAGAAGTATAAGGACACATACATTTTTAAAAACCTTCATCATTTTTATTTTGACAACAACTTATATATTTAAAAAAAAAATAAATAGAAAAATTACATTTTCATAAGTTTTTTTTTGTTTTAATATGCCGCGGTCATTTATGCAATAACCCGTTGTTCATGATGGGCTAATCCGCAATGTCCAGCTTTTTTTTATTATATAAAAATATATAACTCTAACTCGTCCCATAACGATGCGGGTTAAGCCTGCATTGACACCCTATGTGTAATGAGCTTTTCTTGAACAATTTTATGTTTAAAGTTAAAACCATAAACTTTTGTCTCTTAGTAATAAAAATAGCCCAACGTTAAATCTAAACGATTCATGCATGTAAAAACATCTCCAATAGAGGTATTTTATTGAGATATCTACAT